GTTGTTGTTTTCATCTGATTTGAGAGAAGAAATCCAAAAGTAGAGAATTGACTTTCTCATTACTGCACTAACAACCCAGTCCTGAGGGGCAGGGAATTGAATGCTTTGGCTGTTGTCTGAATTGGTTGTAAGGAGAAGGAAAAGGATTAATAAATGCCAGGAAATAAACAGATTAAAAATTCTAAAATGGCATCCCATCACATACCTTTTGAATATATCTCATAATTAGTTCAGCTGTTTTCACATTGTTTTTAGTTTGTTTTGTTTTTTTGTTTTTGTTTTTGTCTTTTACTTGAACTTCTACAATGAAAAAATGAGTTATCTAGAATCCTGAATCTGTTCTTGCAGAACGTTTCTTAGTTCAATCTCCTCCCCACCCTGCAAGATTTTCTGAGATATAATTGGCATATAATATTGTACAAGTTTAAGGTATACAATATACAATTATATATATAATTACCACAATAAAGTTAGTTAATACCTCCATTAACTCAAAGAGTCAAATTCATTCTTGATACTGTGGCCAGTGATTTGCTTTCTCTAAAATGTAAATCCAATCATGTTACTTCCCTCCTCCAAGGTTTCGGAGACTTTCCACTGCCTTTAGAGAGTCAGAACTGCCATGGACACGAAACAAGGTCTCGATCTGGAATGTGCCCACCTCATCTGCTCGGGTGCCCCAAGCTAAGCCACTGATGGGTCCACCAGGGAGTTAGACCGCATTTGAGGGTATGGCCCTGTGCTCTTGTGATGCACCCTTTCCCCTCAGCTCTCTGGCCATCACCAGAATTTTCTAAGTAGACATCTATTTATCTTTACATCTCAGCTCAGATGTCACCACTGATGGACTAACTCCTTCCTTTGTAAGTCAGTGGAAGCAATGACTCCTTTTATCACAACACACATTGCTGCACATATTGAACACATATGCTTTCTTCACTAGACTGTTTATTGCGAGAAGGGACTATGTCTTAGATCTTTGCGTTCCCAGTGCCAAGTGATATTGTAAGTGCTCACAGAATGTTTCAACTGGCGGGGGAAGCGCTACACTCTGTGTTTGTCTCACATACCCCTGTGGGTTCCTGAGCCATCCCGATGGCACTATCCAACAGCTGGTGGACTAAGTCAAGGTTAAAATTTACATTGGGCATCCCCTTTTCTAAGACAGTAAGCATATTCAGTTGTTCAACACATTTATTCAACAACTTTTTTTTTTTTGTCCAAAGCATGTGCTAGGTGTTCGAAATATTTCATTTAGAAATATTTTCCTCAGGGTCAGTTAAAACATTTTTTGAAAATTTCAGGAAAACTTAAAACATCCAGAGCCTATCCAGATTTGGATTATAATAGGTAGTGTGGAGAATTTGGTAACTGGGTATTAATCAATCCTATGCACCCCTAATATTTAATTAGTAGTCTCAAGTTCAAGAAGAAGGTGGTGGTATAAAAGAGAAAAGAAAAATATGCCAATGCTTAAACTGTGACATATCCATAAAGCATAACTCTGAAGGAGTTAAAGGGGGAGATGTAGGTCTATTTGTACCAACTTGGCCATAAACGAAATTAAGTAAAAAGTAGCAATTGTAGAACAAGACAAGCCATATAAAATTTATACGCTCCCTGCCCCTCTAACAACTAAAAATATCTATCAACAAATATATTTTGTATATAAATGGATATAAAATGTTGAAAGGACACATATTAATTAGATTATGGTAGCAATTTCTAGGGATGAAACTGAGAACTTTAGAGTAACTTTTGCTTTATCTGTACTATTAAAAAACATTTGCAAAAAAAGTAATCATGTAAGAACCACTTGCATAATTAAGTTTTTTCCCCCCTAAAAAAAGTAGAGAAGTAGTGCATTACATATTCAAAGACAATACTTCTGTAACATGGAGAATACTTTTTCTCATTAAGTGATATATTGTGAATTTAAACTTTTGTACCTGTACCTGCCTTCTTATAAAAGGCCTGCCGTTCCTAGTTGGGACACGATGGAGTGGATTAGCAGGCAGAGGACCTGTGTTCTATTCCTTGTTCTGCCTCTTACTTGGCCAATCACTTAATCCTGCTGAGTCTATGAAATCTATAAAATGGGATAACAAATACGGTTAAGTCACGACATTGCTGTGAACTTGTGGGATGGCCATGCACCATGGACTGTGACGTTCTATGTTTTACACTATCATATATAACGGGATTTTAATGCACAGAACGTACTCTAGATAAAGGCTCTGCTAAAGGAGACCAAGATTAATCACTAAGTAGAAAAATATGAACAAAGGTGGTTTAAAAGTCAGTTTATTTGACAATTCACAAGTGATTTGTAAGTTTTATGGATTATTTGGAGCCAAATTTGAAAACCAGTAGCTCCGTTTATTCCTGGAATGTCTGACATGCTCTAATTCACCTAAGTAGTGCAAGTCATGTCTACTCGAGGAAATCAAGCTAATTTTAACTTAAACTAGACATAAAAATCAAATAACAAATACAAGGAGTATTTTGTTGTTGTTGTTGTTGTTTGAGCTTATTTCTACCAGAGATAATTTGTATACAGTTACCTGTTTATGAATCAATATAAAAAGAAGAGGAAGACAACAGAAATGTTAATTCTCTGAACTTTCTATGGCAATGCGAACACAAAATCACCTGGTCCTCAAGGTGAATTCAGTATCAAAGTAACACACTGGAAAAGGCACATGCAATCCACTTAAAGCCTCTAGAACTTGACTTTGAGGAGAGGCAGGTGAGCCACAGAAAGATAATTAAGTTCTACTAGGAAAGCGTTAATTCTTCTTGTCTCTTGTCCCCCGACCCCCACACCTTTTAGAAATGACAGAAGCATGGAAGCTATTAAAAGAAAAAAAAAAGTAGCATTTAATCAACAAGTCAATAAGAAAAATGAAGTCATTTTCATAAGCATTTGAAACTGGGCTTATGAAAGACAGCAGTTACCACATGTAGACCCCACTTTGCATTTTGCTTCAGTTGTACTGAGAAAGCCCTGATTCACACTAAGGAATAGTAGCACTTCTTTAGTAGCTCACCTTGAAATACCAAGATGCTCTTCAATTTACCAGAGATGGCCTTATTCTGCACCTGCACAAAAAACAGTTAACCTGGTGCTGATGTTTGCTGGATTTCAATGTTTTGAAATGTTATATATGGTGCACTGGAGTTTGCTGGTTTTGATTTTTTAAGTTAATATATATTTTAAAATCAGACTTTAAGGAAGGATCTCAATAGAACACAGTCAAGTATCATTGCCTCAGACATGAGTTTCTTTACAGGTTTTATTATCGTGTGAAATCTGCCAGGTTTTCTGACCCTCCACGCCACGCTTCCACGAGTCCCCCCACTTCGGCTGCTCACTCTTCCCTCTTGGCCGTTCCTTCTGTTTCCTTGACAAGCTCTGGTCCTGCCCTGCACCTGGCCCACAGGGACACGTTCATCGTATTTTCCCCATTTCTTATGCCCTCTATTACCATGAGCTATGCTGACAGCTCCCAGATACCTATCTCCCAATCAGCTAGCTCATATTTCTCTTCTAAGCTCCATTTAGACTTACATCTCACTCAGATGTTCTATAGACCTCTTAAACTCAAAACAGAACTCATCATTCATCTTGCTTTGTCCCTCCTCCTCTCCTGAATTTGCTCTCTCAATAAATGAGATTGTTCATCTGGTTGTCCAACTCAAGAGAGCTAGGAATCATCCCGCATTCTTCTTTTTCCTTGTCACCTACATTAGCCAGTCAGTCCTACTAATTCCACCTTCTAAATACTCTCTGAACATCTTGTCCATTCCCACTGCCACTGCCACGATGGGGGACTTATCGTAACATTCCAGATGTTATTTCTCTCCCTCTGTCACCTGTTTTTGGTAAAAGTGACTTACAATGTTTCCTTTCCATCTAGTGTACAAAGCACTAGGCAGTGAGTGCTGACTGAGTTTTTGAAGGTTTTTTCTAAGATGAAATCATTAGCTATTTTATAAGACAATATATAAACAAAAAAATGAAAAACATTTGCCCTAGCCGATTAGCTCAGAGCATCGGCCTACAGACCAAACAGCCCCTGGTTTGATTCCCAGTCAAGGGCAAACACTTTGGTTGCAGGCTCCCCAGCCTTGGTAGGGGCGAGTGTAGAAGGCAGCCAATCCATGTGTCTCTCATGTCAACATTTCTCTCTCCCTCCTCTTTCCTCCCTTACACTCTCTCTAGAAATCAATGAAAAATATATCCTCTGGTGAGGGTTAAATAAATAAAAACATCATGTCTTTAATTCAATTCACTGTTTTCTATTTGTGTGACATCTACATATCAGATTCCCATAGAGGAAAAAAAAGTCATAAAAATAGTAAGGTCCAATTTAACACAAATATGAGGAATATCTCCACAACTAGAGAAAGGTGAATGATGCAACTATTGCCATTTTAAAAAAATCCATTTCTAATAATTTTCAAAATACTCTTACATGAAAATCATCTTAAAAAAATAACGGTATAAGCCGCTACTTAAGAAATTTTTTAAAATATGTCATTCTCAACTACTACTTATATGGAAGTTTTCTTTTGTAAGTTTTATATAATTTACTTCATGAATGATAAAAAACAATGCTAAATATCCAGGAGACGAAAATTCATTGAAGACCATTTTATAACTTCAAGCACAGAATTTTAGGATGTTAAAGACATTTGATGGCAACTAAACAAAAGAATTTCTTGAAAAACAAACACTCCCACCTAACAAATATCCCCCCTGCCTGCCTCCACTCCAGAACGGACAGAAATCAGGTGCACAGGAGAGCAGGCCAGCTGTGTACTCCAGAGTTAAATGAAAACATGGAAGACTGTAGCACACTTGTTAAAGAATGAATTTAATTTGAACAAGGAATTTAATTCTTTAACAAACCAATGAGTTTAAAAAGTTGGTACTGGTTTAATTTTGAGTGTCCCTTTTTCAAGTTCCACTTGGGGGGGGGGGGAAAGTTTTTTCTCTACTGTAATTGCTTCCCAACAGTTCAATGACAGCAAAACATTAAATCTATGATGGTGCTGGAGCTCTTCTGTAAGGGCAGAGACGCACCTTCATGAACTTTGTAAAATCTGCAGTAAAGGAGAGAAAAAAGAGAGGGGAAGGGAGGAAGGAAGGAATGAAGGAAGGAAGAAGGAGGAGAGGGGAGAGAGAAGAGAGGGGAAGGGAGGGAGAGGGAGAGGGAGAGGGAGAGGGAGAGGGAGAGGGAGAGGAAAAGGGCGAGTGAGAGGGAGAAAGGGAGAGAGAGAGACCAAAACTAATTTTCCAGGCAGGAAAATACTTACAAAACCTTTTATGTCAAAGTTAGGGTTTCACAACAGATCACACTAAATGTAAAATCCAATAGCACCTGTAAGATTTAAGTAAATGCTGCCATCACTTGAATGCTTTTTAAAAAAGTATCTGTAAAAGACTGAGGGGAAAAAAGATAAAGTACATTCTCCAGAGAACAACAAGTGTATTGCAAAATAAAAACTGTATTTTTGTCTTTCTTTTTTTTTTCCAGTTGTTTTTTTGTACAAGAGTTCAGTTTTCATATAATAACTTATACACAACGGGATCACCCTCTGCTCTCCTTCCTGTGTCACTTCGAGTCCACATGTTCAGGCTACAGTCCCCAGCACTGTTTTCTGACAAATATATTACCACAGTTTGATCTAAATATAGATACATTATATAATATTTGCCTCTGGGAAAATCAAATTTTAATATGCAAACTTTTATTTCTATAATACAGAAATGGAGAAAACTACAGTAGGCAAACAACCTAATTATGACTTGAAAATGATGACTCTCCTACCGTAAATCAATGTTTAAAATAGTCTTAAGATTTTATTTATATGTGCCCTTGTGTCCACCTTATCCCATATACTGTACACGTCTAATGACAATCTGGGAATTTAAAGGTGCAGCCCTCAATAAATTGTTAGATCACTTTTTTAAAAAAATTAGGCTCTATTGGACAAGGAAAAAACTCAGAAAATTTCCAATTTTAAATTTCATATAGTAGGAAAATATTAAAAAAAAATTTCTGTATATACATATGAGTATATGTATATATTGAGTTACACACATCTCACATATCAGTACAACTCAAGTGGAGACATTTTGATGAGTTATTTTCCCACTATATAATAACTATGTCAAAATTTAAAAATATCTTATTACATCGTTAAAATAATTCACTTACCATTTCAACAGCTTACATACACTGTTTACTTACTTTTATTAACTCTTCATATCTACATTCCCTGATCCCTAGAGTTAAATTTCCTATTTAAGTCAAAATCTGGTGCTCTTTGTTACTCAGAAACTGATAGATAAAATCACATCTACTTCAAAATTCTATCAATTAAGTAAAGTTTTATTACCTGATTTGTCAGAGACATAGCTCAGCTCTGCCCTTGTGTACCTACATCACCTTCCCTGTGATACACAGGTGAGCTAAATGCCCTAAAATAGATGGCGGTGACTCACATGATGTTATAGCACACATAAGACATGGTGATCAAGTGTCTGATAAAAACTTCTCAGAGACATCTGAAAACTCACTTTAGAAACTAACTTTAGAAACCATTTATTTTTCACTCTAATATAAATTAATATGTATGTATTTCCATACATACACATACATATATAAAACAAAATTGCCTATGCTGAGTAGCTGTTTGTGAGTGAAAAAATGGTTACAAATTGATCAATTAGCTTACTTTTGTTCTTAACAATTCAGTCTTTTGGGGGTACAAACCAAAAGTCAGTGCACTTTGTAGACTCCTCAGAGTCAGATTCCCAAGCATACACTTTAAATAAAGAACCCTCCTCAACACCGCAGGCATTGTACAGCGAGAATACATGGACTCTGATGCAACTCCTACTCCATATGCAGACTAAACAGCACGTGCCTTACTTTTAAAATAGCTTCTTAAAAGAAATATATAAAGAAACGCATCTTTGCTAAAAGTCTTTTAAAATTACATCAAAACAACATTAAAACCTGTTCACTGAGAAGAGCCTATTGAATTGAATTCCTGTGTTGAGATGCCTAGTTAACAGTTCAGAATATTGCCTTGTGAGGTTTGACTAGAGATGTGGTTGGCGTGGAGATCCAGACAGAGTACACGGCTCAATCCCAATAGTCCTCTGATCCGCTGTTGGATGGAAATGGATCCCTTTTAAAATATCTATACACCTGAAAAGGATCTATAATAAACAGTTCCCCAATAACCACAATTATTTGTAAATTGAAATGCGTTGATCATCCAGAAAAGGTTTCTTGCAAAAGATATAAATAAAGGTAACTGCATATTCTGTAAATATACTTAACATTGCTAGACCAGACCGTCAGCGACGGGCTGCTGCATTTCAGTACTGTGTCAAATTTATTAGAAATTTAAAAAGAAAAATTTCTGAGGGACTCAGCTGCCTTCGTTAGTTGGCTTTAAAATGTATAGTAAAATGGGAGACAGTATCTTCTCATAAATACATGGGATCAGTATGGAAAAGTAAACTATACAGGGACAAGGTTAGAGAACACCAGAGTGCAGCAGAGTGGCCACCAGAGTGAAATATCTTCCCACAAAAAAAAGGGAAGGGTTCTACACACCCTGGCACAGCAAGCATGTTTCAATTAAAGATGCAGCGCGCTCTCACTCCTGGCAAGAATTAACTGGTCATGACACTGCTTCCCAACAGTGCAAAAGTATCCTGAGAAATTATTCAGATTATAACAAAAGACAGGGCTTTCGTCACTAAGTTGTTTTTTTGTGGATTTTTTTTTTTTTTTTGCACAAAACACAGCTTTAGATATCATAAATAAATTAAGTTAAAAAGCAGATAGCCTTCACTGTGTTGAACACAAAAAGGGGATGTGACCCAGACATCGTTAATTCTCCCATTGGCTAATATCAGGAAAAAGAAAAAAGAAAAAAAGAAAGAAAAAAAAAAAAGATTGCATTAAGTGTCTACTTGTAATTTCCTAGTTAGCTATGGCCAATAATATACATGGAGGTAATTTGTAGTTCAAGTGTTTCATCTCTTTTTCCCCAACTAGCTACAAGCTGGATTCTAAAATTTACACTGAAATATACAATTCCAATTTTCAAAAAAAATCCTCCTCCGGGAGGAGTGATATTTAGATTTTTTGTGCAATCTTGATGCAGAGCCCAAACAGTCCTATGAAGGGAGACAGTGTATTTTTTCTTCTTCTTTTTTTTTTAATCAATTGGCACTGAAATTTCACTTTCCTTAGCTGCATTCTAGAAGCTTGGCCAAGTTATCTCGTAACTCCGTTAGTTCAAAGATTTTTCCATCGAGAATTTCTAAGAGTGTCTTCAGGTTATTACGAAAAGCTTCTTGTTCATTCTGACTTTTCTCCAGACGTTGCTCTAAGTCAGACAGTTGTCCCTCCAGGTCTTTGTTCCGAATTTCTACTTCCTTTAGAAACAAAAGTGCGATATAGATATATATATAATGTCAGTTAATGATTTAGAAAACGATATAACTTTTGTTATTTCCAATATTGTGGTAGTTACGAATCTCAGGTTAACACAATTTTAGGAGAGATTTTAGTCTTCACCATCCAAGAAATCCATGTGGTTTTACTGTCTGGTTTGTTCAGGAACCTACCTACCCATCTAACAAAAATTTCCTTACTGCGTACTTTGTGCCAGGCAAACCCCTGGGCACTTCAAATACCGAGACAGTACTTAGAGGATTATCCGCATCTCATTTCTATTTCGGCTACCGTGCTGTTCCTAATGCACAACTGTTCGCAATCTCTGGTGAAAGCAGGCAGAGAAAAAGAGGGGAGTTAATGTTTTCTCCTTATTGGCAATTCTGGAGAAATACTGAGAGAAGAAAAATGACTTCCTAAAATGGAGTTTTAGCATCCTCTAAATATGTTAATTATTCTTTGTTTTGCCACAAGAGCGAATGAATGCATGTGATAGAAAACATAGTTCAATTGCTAAAAAACGATAGTGAAGATATATAATAACTATATATAAGAATTGTAAAGATAATAATTCCAACATACTAGAAAACAAGGAAAGAAAAAGAATCACACACAAAAAAAGGAAACTCATGGCAACAAAAACAATTTTTTAACACATTAAATTCTGGCATATGGTATTTAGAAGTTTTTATTGCTCTAAAAATGCTTCTAAATGTCACAAATATGGTAAGCAATTCTATAAAATAAAATAACATAGCATGAGCTTTGATATATTTCAGTAAAAAATAAAATTGAGGGGAAAAAAGCAGAAAACCAACTATTATACTTTAAATAAGCATATGAATTACAGGTAAGCAATGAATTGGCAGTTACAGTAGTCCCCTTATCTGAGAGGGGACTAAGAAGCCCAGTGGATGCCTGAAATTGCAGAGAGTACCAAACCCTATATATATACTGTATTTTTTCCTACACATACATACTTAAGATAACATTGAACTTATACATTAGGTACAGGAAGATATTAACAATAAAATAGAGTATAACAACATACTGTAGTAAAAGTTATGTAATTGTGGTCTCTCTCCCAAAATATCTGGTAACTGAGACAGCAACTAAGTGACCAACAGGTGGGCAGCCTATTCAATGTGAATACGCTGGACAAAGAGATGTTATGTCCTGCGGCGGAACAGAGCAGGACAGCTGAATATTTTATCACGATGCTCAGAATGGCATGCAATTTAAAACTTATAAACCTTATTTCTGGAATCTCCCATTTAATATCTTCAGATTACAGTTGCCTGCAAGTAACTGTTTTCTGTGCAATCTTAATAAAAAACGAAAACCCTACGTAAAGAGGGGGCTACTGTATATATAAGCTTTCTAGAAAGCTCACTTTTACATCTGAGAGACTGAGGTGACTGACACAATTTACATTCACGTATGCAAATTCTATGGAATAATAAAAACATTTTGGAGAAACCAAAATGGCGGTATAGGTAAACACCTGAACTGCTGCCTTGAACAACAATTTTAAAACTACAACTAATGGACAAAACGGACATCATTGAGCACCACAGGAAGGCTGGCTGAGTGGAAATTCTACAAACTGGAGGAAAGAGAAAAGCACACTGAGGCTCACAGAAACTATGGAGGTGCGCACGTTCAGAGAGGGCTGGCAACTGAGTACATGGCTGGCTTTCTCAGTTGGGAGGGAGGCAAAAGATCCCAAATGCTCTGAACTCCAGATCCGGGTGAGACTCATACAGGGAGAAACTGAACTGTCTGGTAGTGGGCAAAACTCGGGAGCGGCTTTCTCTTAGAGATGCTTGCAGTGATTACCTCGGGACACTAAGGCTTCCATCCTGAGATCCCACCCCATTAAGCCATTGCTGTTTGCTATGCCCTGAAACTCCACCCCATCTAAGCTGAGTGAAGAGGCTTTTGCATATGAATGGCCTGGTTCTTTGAATTCTAAACTTACCTAACAAACTGCAGCTGAGTCAGGGAGACCCAGAACATCCAAAAGAAGGCCCAAAGCCCCAAAGCAGCTTTTATTGCTTCACAGCTGAGCCTCATCTGGGCATCTCCAAAACCCCAAACAAAGAAGAGGAATCTGCAGATCTCTCTGTACCTCCTGCTGGGTGGCCTCAGCCAGAGGCTAAATTAGCACCTCCTTGGAGATCCAAGAGCCTGTGTACCCAGGGGTCAGAGTGGAACCACCCAGATTACAACTCCTCTGTTCCATAAGGTACACAACTCAGGGGGCAGACTCAGTGAGCACCAAAGCCCCACTGAAGCGAGTCTTTAACTCGTAAAGGTGTCTCCAGCACAGTTCTCCCATAGTAGACACAGCTGATCCTCACAGCCAATTGGCCAGGAGGTCAATTCCTCCCAGTGATACCAACAACAATCAAGGCTTAACTACAAGACTGTGCACACAGCCCATAAAGGAGTTCACCAAGTGTGTCCAACTAGAGAGGATGAGTCACTGGGCCCAACAGGACAACTAGCACACAAAGCCACTCTATCAACTTAAGGATGCAGCCAAAATGCAGAGACAAAGAAACAGATCACAAAGGAAAGAAATGGAGGAAAGCAAACGATTGGATATAGAGTTCAAAACCACAGTTATAAAGTTTATCAAGAATTTTCTAGAAAAGGCCAATAAATTTAATGAGACCCTCGAGGAGATGAAAAAGGACCAACTAGAAATTAAGCACACACTGACTGAAATAAAAAATAATAATCAGAGATCCAAAAGCAGACTAGAGAATCACAAGAATCAAGGTAAAGATTTGAAATACAAAGAAACAAAAAACACCCAATTGGAAAAGAAAAAAAAATAAAAATTAAAAATAAAAATAAATTTTTTTAAATCCAAAAATATAAAGATAGTGTAAGGAGCCTCTAGGACAACTTCAAGCATACCAATATCCGAATTATTGGGGTGCCAGAAGAAGAGGGAAAGCAAGGTACTGAAAACTTATTTGAAGAAATAAAGACTGCCGAAATCGGTTTGGCTCAGTGGATAGAGCATCGGCCTGCGGACTGAAAGGTCCCGGGTTCGATTCCGGTCAAGGGCATGTACCTTGGTTGCAGGCACATTCCCAGTAGTGGGTGTGCAGGAGGCAATTGATCAATGTTTCTAACTATCCCTCTCTCTTCCTCTCTGTAAAAAATCAATAAAATATATTTTTTAAAAAAGAAAGAAATAATGACCAAAAACTTCCCCACCTGGGGAAAGAATTAGACTTACAAGTCCAGGAAGCGCTGAGAACTCCAAACAAAAGGAATCCAAAGAGGATTGCACCAAGACACATCATAATTAAAATGCCAAGAACAAAAGACAAAGAGAGAATATTAAAAGCAGCAAGAGAAAAACAGTTACCTACAAGGGAGCACCCATATGACTGTAAGCTAATTTCTCAACAGAAACGATGCAGGCCAGAAGGGAGTGGCAAGAAATATTCAAAGTGATGAATAGCAAGAACCTACAACCAAGATTACTCTAGGTAATCATTCAGAATTGAAGGGCAGATAAAGAGCTTCACAGATAAGAAAAAGCTAAAGGAGTTCATCACCGCCAAACCAGTATTATATGAAATGCTAAAAGGTATCTTTAAGAAGAGGAAGAAGAAGAAAAAAGGTAAAGATAAAAATTATGAACAACAAATACATATCTATTAACAAGTGAATCTAAAAATCAAGTGAATAAGAAATCTGATGACCAGAACAAACAGATGAATATAATAGAATCAGGGGCATAGAAAGGAGTGGACAGACAATCCTCAGGGTGAAAGGGGTGTGGGGGGTGCAGGAAGAGACTGGACAAAAATCATACACCTATGGATGAGGACAGTGGGGGTGGGGGTGGGGTGTAAAGGCAGAGTGTGGGGTGGGGACCAGGTGGAAAGGAGCTATGGGGAGGGGGGAGAAAGGAGGATCAATTAATTGTAATAATATGAACAATAAAGATGTATTTTTTTAAAAAGACAAATTAAAAAAATAAAAGCATTTTGGTGTTAGTAACACAATATGAATCAGCCTCAGAAAATATATTTCAAACATGTTAGTATATCATTTAAAAATATATAAACGTCTAAAAAATCCTGTCAAGTCAGGATAGGGGGATATTTTTTTAATTACTGAAAGACAATTTGGTAAATAAAAAGAATAGTATGTGAAGCAGATTTTTATGCTTGAGGACAAATACTGGGAATTAATGTACTAATAAGAAATAGAAATTACTTCAGGGTTTTGGGATCATGGGTACTTTTTTCCCCAAAATTTGTCTTATAATATCTGTTAAACTTTTGAGAAAAATAACTGGGAAATGGCTTGCATACATAAGAGAGTAACAGTTGAATTAGGATTCCGAACATGTAGAAAATTTCATGGGCTTTGACAGAAATAGCTAGGATCAAGGCTTAAGCCAGGATGCCACAGATGCGTTGTAAAAGCCTGGGAAAATATAAAAAGGGAATTATGCAGCTATAATCACTTATAAATGAAGAATTTAAGGAATCCCAACCTAATCTTAAGGTATTTACTGTGAGATGTTTACCAGGTATGTTTCTAATCTTTGAATAATCCATAAGATGAAGATAAGTAATTTGAGTGCAGAATCTGAAATCAATAAAATGCTTATAAATCCAGAAGCCCTGGAGGCTCTCAACTATGAGGGAGAAAATAGTCCCTGGGATCAAACCTAAAAATGCCACTCATGACTGCACAGCGAGCTCTCTCGCCTGCTTAAACAATAAGCTTAAGAGTAGGATGTTTCCAACTATAAAAATAGACGGAATGTCATTCACTAGAAAACACCCTGTTCACCAGGCACCGCCCAGCTTGCTCTCTAGACTAGAGCCTCCCTTTAAAATGAAAGGCTGCCTTGTTCTCTTTGCCAGTCAAGGAAACATCCAAACATTTTCAGTGGAAGCAAGCAAAACACAAAGTTCTCTCAGCTATTAAAGTGGTGTTGTTCTCTCTAAAAGGAGTCTTATACTCTAAGCCATTCTTCTGATTGGAGGAATTTTACCAGGCAGATGACAAAAGGGATCCGATACAATGCTGATGGCGCTGGTCTATTCTGAGGCAGAGAATGTGATCCGAGGGCAAGAATAGACAGCAGGTGCACGGGGCCAACAGGAGGCAGTCGGGGCCCTGGAGGGGGGCACTTCTCATTCTTCTACTTTGGTAATGAATTTTAAAAAATCTTCCTAACTGTGGTTCGCTGCCACTGACACCTATTATGCGTATATAAATTGGAAGCACATATTCGTGCAGAAAAAAAGTGAGTAAAGTTAATTAGACTGAAAAAATAAGAAGAGCACTGACTTCATTTCCATTAGGGCTCAACTACTGCTTTAATTCGTATTTTAATTCATTGTAAAAAAATGAGCAGAATTTCTAAACTGAATGAAAACCATTTGAGAAGTTTTCTTTAAATTCAGAGTATTTTTAGGTTAAAAGTAGAAATTTCTAAAATAATTCTGAAGATCTACACTAATAAAAGAGAAAGATGCAAATTGGCTGTACCTTTGTGATGCCCACCAGCCAATCAGGAGTGAGTATGCAAATTAACCCAAGACAGACTGTATGTTAATTTGCATACGCAGGTGCCCAAGCAGCTGGGGGCTGGACGCTTGCATCATTGCCATGGCGATGAAGCAGGCATTCTGCACTGCCCGGGCTCCGGGCCTCTGGGCAGCATGGGAAGGCAGAAAGAAGGTTTGGGGTCAGAACGCAGGCAGAAAGGCGGCTCCGGGCCAGAGCAAAGGCAGTGCTGGCAGGCAGGGGAAGGAAGGCCCTTTCTTGCATGAATCTTCATGCCTTGGGCCTCTAGTAATTTATAAATGACTACCTATGATGACTATAAGTTATCTAAATGAAATTATCAACAACTTTTAGAAAAATCTAAGCTTAGGCATGAATCAGAAGTCCTAGAAAAGAAAAATGACCAAGAATCTACAAAATGAAGTTTCAGGAAAAAGTCATAACTACAGTGATAGAATGATTGATGCCTCCCCATGCAAAAATGAATAAACATTTTATTAGAGCTTACCTGCAGTTTCTGAGTCAGAGAGTCCCTCTGTTCTTGGAGTTCTCTGGCATTATCAATTTCTTGTTTTAATCTTTCTATTTCCTAGAAAAAATAGAGCAATGTCTTTAACAATAACATTTAAGTGCTATCAAGGAAAGAGAGGCACCGTTTTTCCTGAAATTACTGTCCTAGTTCTTTAAGACTGATTTAAAGAACATTTACTTTAAATTCCTTTAAAAAGATGAAAGGATTAAAAACAAATAAAGAAATTAACTCATAGACAGACAACAGTATGATGATTACCAGAGGGAAACAGAGATGGGGGAAGTAGGAGAGAGTAAAGGAGGGACAAATGTATGGAAAGAGACTTGACTTGAGATGATGAGCCATATACAGATGATATATTATAGAATTGTGCCCCTGAAACCTATATTATTGTATTAACCAATTTCACCCAGTAAATTCAATAAAAAAAATAAAGAGCATTCCTTTATACTGACTTTTAGAGAGGTGAATTCATCTTTAAATATATATTTTTATGATTTCAGAGAGGAAGGGAAAGGGACAGAGAGATAGAAACATCAATGATGAGAGAGAATCTTTGATTGGCTGCCTCCTGCAAGCCTTACAATGGGGATTGAACCTGCAACCTAGGCACATGCCCCACCTAGGAATCACACTGTGACCTCCCAATTCATAGGTCAATGCTAAATCACTGAGACATGTTGGCCAGGCTGAATTCATCTTTATAGGCATGTTGTCTTGTGCAGAATAAGCTTAAGAAACAAGCAACAAGACTAACTTGATGGCTTTGGTATAGCACTGCTCAGAATCAGTCTGAACATTTTAAGGTTGTTTCAAGTTTTGAATTCTTCCCTGGGATATTAAATCTGACTGAAAACCATAGAAAGCAACAGCTTGTAAAATTCATATAACTTACAATAGTTTCCTGTTGGTCATAAGGATACAACTCTCAGACAGAGAGTTGCATAACTGGTATGCAACAAGCAGTATCTCAGTCTGATTGCCTCACCATAGTTCATAACAATAGAAACAAGGATGGAGAAAATATGAACAAGGTTAATATCACTCAAGAAAAATTTCATGCTAAAAAACCCACACAGCCTTACCTTATTCCATAAAGTACATAGACTCTAATATTTTAGCTAGATTATAGCTGAGCAAAAAGTAGAAAGTACCTCTTCCTTTTCTTTCAGTGTTTCTTCCAGTTCTTGTATTGTCTGATTTAATTCTGTCTTATGGGTATGCACTGCATTTGCTTGACTACTAACACATTCAAGCTCAGTCACCTAAAATTAAATGAGAACTCAGGTTAAATTATATGAAAACTTCAAAGAATTTATTACTAAAGAGATAACAGGCCCTTGGTAGGCAAGTAATAAATTTTGAATCAATATATGAAAATTAATTTTGAGAAATATTAATATAAAAGAATAAATAGAAAAATTTCTTTAGAGATGTGGATTTAGGACAAAAAAGAGCAAAGGAAATAACTATTTACATGGGCTGGTCATGAAAAGGATAGGAAAACTTAAATGATTAATGGTAGTAGAAAATTCCTTTAAAAGCTACTCATAACATTTAAAATCAGATATAGTCATCTGCCCTCCATCTGTAGCTTTCAAATTTAATTGAAAACTGGCCTTGCAGAGATGAGAAATTTTTCTAATACATTTCCAAAATGTAAGAGAATCTGGAAGAAAAAAAACATGCTTAAAATGCAACTTAAATATTTGATACAAGAATGTCTACATGTTAATAGTTTCTCTTATGACAAAAGATAGTTCTTCAGTCAATAGATGGACTGAGAGCCCAAACACAACATAACTTTTAGTGAACACTTGCTATTTTTTGAGAGAACAGATATAATACAACCCATATATGCTCTTAGAACCAATGAAAATCTCCAAACGATGTCCCTGTGCTGAATCTACATGTAAATTTCCTCTAATCAAGGAAATCTGCTAGCCATAAATTCCATGGACAGCAGCCCTGTACTTGCCCGCTTGTGCAGACGTTCTGCTTCCTCTTGATATGCAGCAAGTTGCTGTTTCCATTGTTTCACATTGGCAGTAGACTCCAACAGGGCTGCAGTGAGTTTGGCATTATTTCCTTTGAGGGTAGCCAGTTCAGCCTCCCAATGTTTGCTGATTGCTGAACTGAAATTCAAAAAAACAAAACAAAACTCTATACATTATACTGAATATTATTACATTGAAAGGACAGCAGTACTCAGGTCTTTCATTTGGTTCATAGTTCATGAATGTTTCAAAGACAATCCAAGAAGAATAAAAACAAAAGTATTTCATTGAAATGCTCTTAATTAATTAATTAAATAAATAAATAAATAAATAAATAAAATCTTAGCAAATGAGGAAATATAAAAAGTACCAAAGTAGTAGGCTTAATGTGGAAAAGTTCAGGTATCTTACAGGAGAGTCTCCACCTATTCTTTCTTTTTTAAAATTTATTTTTATTGATTTCAGAGAGGAAAGGAGAGAGAGAGAGAAAGAGAAATATCAATGATGAGAGAGAATAATTGATTGGCTGCCTCCTGCATGCCCCTTATTTGGGACCAGCCTAAAATCTGGGCATTTGCCGTGACTACTGAGCACACCAGCAGGTCTCTATCCATTCTCTTTTGAAGAATAAACACTATATCCTGAAAAATATCTATGAAGAAAACATAAGAATGTACTATATTTTTAAGATCATCATAGCCTGAAGTACAATTTTATTCCTTCATATAAAACATATGAGGATGTCCTAGCCCAGTGGTCGGCAAACTCATTAGTCAACAGAGCCAAACATCAACAATACAATGATTGAAATTTCTTTTGAGAGCCAAATTTTTTAAACTTAAACTTCTTCTAACGCCACTTCTTCAAAATAGACTCGCCCAGGCCGTGGTATTTTGTGTAAGAGCCACACTCAAGGGGCCAAAGAGCCACATGTGACTCGAGAGCTGCAGTTTGCCGACCACAGCCATAGCCAATTTGGCTCAGTGGATAGAGCATCGGCCTGTGGACTGAAGGGTCCCAGGTTCAACTCTGTCAAGGGCACATGACATGCCCTGGTTGTGGGCTCGATCCCTAGTGGGAGGCATGCAGTAGGCAGCTGATTGAGGATTCTCTCTCATCATTATCTCCCTCTCTCTCCCTACCTCTCTGAAAAAAAAAAAAAAAAAATGTATTTTAAAAACAACAACAATAAAACATATGAGGATGCTTCAATGTTTCAATAAGGTTTAGGACATGTAATAGAGTATTTAATATTACTGGTGATTTATGTCATGTTGCTCAGAATTTTTAAATGGCCTAAATATTTAGAAAATGCTGGAATAGCCCTGACCAGTTTGGCTCAGTGGATAGAGTGTCGGCCTGTGGACTCAAGGGTCCCAGGTTCAATTCTGGTCTAGGGCATGCATGTACCTTGGTTGCGGGCTCATATCCAGTAGGGAGTGTGTAGGAGGCAGCTGATCGATGTTTCTAACTCTCCCTTCCTCTCTGTAAAAAAACACACAATATATATATATATATATCAATAAAATATATTTTTTAAAATGCTGAAATAAATTGATTTCAGATCATATGACAGACTAGACCTAGAAACTAATGATTTAATTTATGACAAAATTCCCCTGTCACTGATAGAACAGAACTTAGAGCAATCACCTTCCCCCCCCCCCCCCATTTAATGTTCTACTTGATAAGTTACCCAAAGTTAAGTATTTCAATCAAGACAATTTTCTACTATAAAGATAATTCTACTAATTAGGAAGGTCCCTATTTTGATAATTCCTTTCGTCAGCTTTATAATGAAGAATTGCCTCCTTTCTCATTATAGAAAAGTTTGTTCCTATTAGTGAAGTTCTACTAACCTCATTCCATTAACTAACTAGTAATGATAATAGCTTTCCTTAATCCACATTTTGATGTTTGATATTATTTGCATCACAAAACAAATGTTTTGATAGACTTATATTTTATAGTAATATTAATATATATTAGATAAAAGAAAGCATAATTTCTATCATCAAGATTCCTAAAGTTCATCACAAATAATAAGACATATCAGCATTATGAGATCATTTCTGTGAAATTCTTGCCAAAAACTCCTCTCATCCTAATTATGAGAAAACATCCTTCCTATAAACCCAAACTGGGAGACATTCTACAAATTAACTGATTGGTGCTCTTCAAAAGTGTCAAGAAGAGATAAGACTGAGAAAAAATGGAGGAGACTAAGAAGAAATAAGTAAATACAATGTGAGATCCTGGTTAGGTCCTAGAACACAAAAAGGGACACTGGTGAAAATTGTTATCTGTAGTTTAGTTAGAAGTATTGTATCAATGTTAATTTCCTGGTTTTGATAATTATGAAAGATGTTAATATTAATGGAATCTAGGTGAGAGGCATACGGGAAATCTATACAGTTTTGCAACTTTTGTATGTTTAAAATTAATTTAAAATAGAAGACTAAAAATGTTTCTAAAGGGTCCTGAAAATTTTTCATCAAAACATGAAAGAACAGAATCAAACAATTAGTTAAGCTATTAATTTAACAACCCTTTTTTCTCCTAAAAAGGAAGTTTCTAATTCTTTTGTGGAAGGATTTTCTGAATTCAGATTTTCTGAGTAAAGTGTGCACTGATTCACCTGCTCTAACTGAATTATAGATTTTTTTTTTAAAAAAAACCACCTACCAATTGTTCCACTACAGAGATGAGTTTTATTTAAATGGGTTTTTCAAAACTCATAAAATTGTACAGAAGAGAGAGTAAATTTTACTATATAAAATTATGCTTCAATTAAAACATTATTATCACACTACCAAAAGAAAAAAATAAAAGCTTTCTAAGCACGCCTAGATATTCTTCCTGTGACTGTAGCATTACAAATAATAAGAGGTGGAAAGTCTTCTTAGATGGTAGAACGGTCTCTAAGCTGCTCCATTCATGTCTGTATTTATGGCATGGGAAGAGACTGAATGGGCAGGAAACAGAACAGCTGTGATATAATGAGAGTCCAAAATAAAAAGGAAGGAGGTGAGGGCATCTGGAGATGTTGATAAAAAGGAGATTGGAGAAGTAGGATTATAGAGGCAGGGATATGCAAGGGAAAGGAACAGGCAGCTGTAATTAAAATTAGTTTGGGGTCTGGCCAGTGTGGCTCAAGGTTTGAGTGTCGACCTATGAACTAGGAGGTCACAATTCCATTCCTGGTCAGGACAATTTCCAACAGGGGGCATGCAGGAGGCAGCCCATCAATGATTCTCTCTCATCATTTATGCTTCTATCTCTCCCTTCCTCTCTCCCTCTCTCTTCTTCTCTGAAATACACACACACACACACACACACACATACTTAAAAATTGGCTTGGATAATGAGAAAACTGAAATGATGCCTCTGGAACAGGATAGAAAAAGATGAACATATAAAGTCTTGATATATCATAATTTGTTTACTTCATATAAATGAACATGTCTTGAGTCTCTAATATATTAAGAAGTGAGATTTGGCCACAGGAAGTTCAATGAATTCCCACTAACTCTTTTCTTCCTTTACTCTGCAGAGCTCCAAAATATTGCTGATTGCACTTAAGAAAATATTGAAGCAAATTATTTTATCAAATACTTGCATGCATATTGCATAAGACTACAATCAGCAATAACAATTTAAGACCTAAGAGTCCTGAAATGAGTTCTATAGGAGACCAGTTCAATGCTAAGTTTGTGTGTTTCTGCATTTTCATATGCTTGGTTCCAACGAAAATAAAGATATGCTCTTAAGGCCATTTTGTAATATCAACCAAAAACTGCTTTTTTTTTTTTTTTTTTTTTTTTTTTGTAAATTTGAATCTTTCAGGACATTCTTGCTTTTTGTACTTTAGGAGTGGCTTCATTAATAATCCATTTTTCTAGAGCACAATGTGAAATACAATTTAGAAAGTAAAATATTTTTTATTTTTGTAATTTGCCCTATTTTCTTCTAGTGTATTAGAATTCCCTATATAATGTCAACTTACAATGAATTCCAAAGAGTCTCCTGTAGGAAGTTCTACATGTGAACTATCTGATATCTCTGGTGTGTCCAGCCCTTATATATAATTTTAAATAGTTGGCACACTTTTGCAATTTGAGAAACAATGTTCCTTTCTTCTATCTACAACTCCTCTCCCTTTAAACTCATATTTAGCAGTACCTAATACCTTGGGATTAATTCTGATACCAAAACTTTAAGTTAGCATCTTACATTTCAGGAATATTGTTTAAAAAAAAAATTGAGGTTCTCTGACTGCTAACTTGGTCTTTTTTTACAGGTACACCTTTGACAGTTTCACACCGAATAAACTGCTCACAAAGAAACACCTAAATTGTGCAGCTGGAGACACCAGTGAGTCAGAAGAGATTTTGAAACACCACTATGACCTCATGTCTGAGTGCTGGAATAAGGACAAAATAATTCTTTATTCCCATGGCTGGTAAAGTTTCCCTTCAAACATGACCAGCTAGTTTCCTGCTGGCACTTCCGATCCAGAAGCCAGGGAAGGAGTTCAGAACATTCCAAAAACATCTTCTGAAAGGTTCCTTAATCTAGAATTTTACAATTTCCCTTTATCTAATGTCAAAGTTCTATAAGAAAGCAGTCAACTTGATTAAATTAGTTCTGCAATATCCAGAAGATCATCTAACAAAGTAATCTATCTCACAAAATAAGAGTCTAGTGCATGAGTAAGGCACTTATTTAACCTGTGGAGTCAACCCTATGTGTCCACGGTCAGTAACAGAATTTAAGAAAACTGCTTCTCCTCTGTGCCTGTAGGGGCCAGGATCCACCATCAGTCTCTAGAATAACAGCGCCTTGCATGTGCTTCTTGAGCCTGTTAATTATGTAGAATTGTGAAAAAAAAAAATCCAGATAATGTCTTAAAAATAGATTGCAACAGGCTTACTTTTCGACATTATTCTCAGTGTGAATGGTGAGGTCACTCCCTACTATGCAAATAAGACTGACTCAAGCACTTCACAATCCTGACTTGTCTCAGGACTGGCCTAGTGGTCTCTCCTCACTGCCTGCCAAACGTGGACATTACCACACTGTGTGCCACTTTCTGGGCCACGTGCTCTCATGTTGGCGTGTTGGCCCCAACCCAGTTC